GGACAAATGAAAGAGTAAATGCACATCTCTTACATTTCTGTAGACTTCTGCTCTTGGTAAGATATATCAAGGAGGGTAAAATCGATCCCACTTGGATAATGCTGTGATAAGACACTTCGTAAATATGTTACACCGAACAGGTTCATCCTGGATTGAGAAGAGTTAGATCTCTATTACGCTTTCTATTCCTCGATGGATTTAGGGTGAGAATGTTATCAGGTCACGTTGAAAGTATCGTGTAAAGCTTCAACCAAAATACAGTAAATTGCTAGTTTTTTAGATAATTAAGTGTCCTGATTTACGTTGTAACTTCAACAAAATTCAATCAACTTAATATATATTAATCTCCAAGGACTATTGATGCACACTATGTCTGAACGATCGCTGCAAAATAATTCATTAAATCTACGCATCATTTCTCGCAATTTTTCCACGTTAGCCACGAACGACTTGATTTCAGGAAATCCTGTTGACACGTTAACGATGCTTGCAAAAGAGGGGAAACCTGTTCGAAAAAGTAAATCGTTCCTACCGACAGAAATAACACAGTGGAGAACATCTACGTAAGCCCCTCGACAAAGAAAGAATCCATTGATAGCACCAGTCGCTAGTTCAGCCGTCTTCGGGGCGCTCGAAGAACCGGGAAACCTAAGGGACATCCATTTATTTAGCGCTAAATACACATCGGCGTCTGGACGCCGGCGTAAGCGTCTGTCGACGTCGTAATCGAACGTTAAACTTGTCGCGGTTTAATCCCCAATCGCACGATTCTCGACTAACTGTACAAGTTCTCGTCCCCCCATCCACTTCTCTCTCTCTCTCTGTCTCTCTCTCTCTCTCTCTCTCTCTCTCTCGCACCCATCTTCTCTCCCTTCTTGCTGACACGAAGGGATTAAACCGAACTTTCCGCGTCGATAAATAAACGATTAACGAGGGAACACAAGTATACCCTATCAACAGTCGGAAATACAAAAATATCCTCAGTACCTTACTCTTTCACGCTCATTCTCTGTTCACCACCGCTCGTTCCTAATTCAACTAAAATCGCCTAGAAAAAAAATCCAGGACTCGCTCGTCTAACGAAACACTCTTCTCGCGATATACATCTCCCTCTCTCTCTCTCTTCTCTCCCAAATTTATCTCGGGATACGAACGAATCGGTTTTCTTTGACAACAGATCGTGCGATCGTGGGCATCGCGAGTATGACAACCGTTGTTATCTATGATTTTACGGTTAGAAAAGTGTCCAAGTGATTATACGTAGGGCAATTGATTGTTCAACGCAAGGTACAGGATCGATGTGTTTTAAAGGATATCGCAAAATTTTCTCGTCTACGTGAACTGAGATTAGTATGTAAGGGATTGGTACGTTGAAATTTCGCGACATCCCTTAACTTGTGTATCCAACAGAGTGATCTAAAAAAAGGGTAAATTTCCGGAGGTTGTTGTACTCGTGGAAATGGACGAAAAATATTCAATTGAGGATGGAAGTGTTCGTAAAGATTTCTGGTCATCGTTACCGTAATTTACAGAAATTTTAAAAACACTAATTCATCATACTTCGTGGTGTTCAATCGAAAGTAGGTGAAGTGATAGGTAAATAAAGATTTCTGATCATCATTATCATAATTTACTCACATATCATGAAATTTCAAAAATACTAACGTAAAGTGGAAAGTAACACGTGGAATGTTGTTCAAATAAAGATTTCCAATCATCGTTATCATAATTTCATCACATACCATGAAATTTAAAAAATACTAACACCTCATACTTCGTGGCGTCCAATCGAAATTAACTAAAGTGAAAGGTAACACGTGGAATATTGTTGAAATTAAAAGCAAACAAATTTGAGAAAAATCAAATTGAAGCTAACTCAGTACACCTGTGTTAATTGGATATTTTTCGTATATTTCTCCGAGTACCGTACTCTAATAGTTATATTATACGTACGTGTATCGTCTACTTCTAAACTGTTCGCATTCTTTTTTAGATCAGCCTGCATTATATTATATTTTATTTAAATCGAGCTCGAGGAACACTTTGTTCAGCAACATCGTAGCAGCCTTGATTAAAATTACAATTTCCACCTGATTTTACGCGTGCCTTTTCGTTTATCTTTTTACCATGAAAGTTTGCCTCACCATTGAACCAGGGAACCGGCTACGAACCTTCGCATGTATTTAAAGAGTTTGCTATAAGCGAAAGAGCGGGGGGCACTTTGCTTTGAAAAAGAAAAATCACCGTGGGCATTGATGGAAAAATTAATTAGCTGCAGGCAATTATGGGTTTGACAGAAAGAGCAAACATCGATGTTTGTCGGTGAGACCGGTTCAAGCAGAAACAAACACACGCGCAGCTCTGAACTTTCGCCCACAAGTACACGTAAACTTGAAGGAATCGCAACGAGTTGCAGCTTGCAACTTTCTTCAAACCAAAGACAACAAGATTCAAACCGAAACGTTCGATTCGTTATTTCTTGCTTGCCTTGTACTCTCCATTTTCTCACTTGCCCAAACGCGGCCAAACATTTCCAAGTGAAACGCAAACATACCGAGACCAACTGGGAGGTTACGAATTCGCCCCAGACCGCACGTCTCTGATCAAAGATCCATGTGATCGTTCGCGAGCGAGTGTGTTGATCGTGCCCTTTTAAAAATCGCTTGGTCCGATCGAAGGAATCCGCTAAGAGGATCCAGGCTTTGCCTGGACGTTCCTTGCTCGACACATAAAAAGCTGCCGACAGTCATTAAAAACGCGATACACCCTATTTAACGCTTGCCGCCTTACGAGGTCTACTTATACAGATACCTTTTAGTTACCCTGACGTGTCAATATGCACACACATGTACACGTGCAAGCTTGTGTTTCGTGTGTGTGTGTTTGCGCGTGTGTGCCTGTGTATGATACACATAGACGTGTACAAGCATATGTACATGTACATCACGCGAATTTATTGCCGCTGAAACAGAGAAATTTACGCACCTGGCTGCTCGATCCACAAATATACGTATGCGTTTCATGTGTGTATGCGTGTGTCATTGTTGCCAGGATCGTATTTGTTCTATTCTTCCATCATTTTTTTCTTCAGTTGCTTCCTACTTTTTCTCTCGTTCTTACACCGTCGTTTCAAGGTTCTAGGATCTTGAGTACCTTTGTTTGTTTTCTGTTTTTTTCTTTTTCGAGTCGAATGTCTTCGAGAAAAAAAATATTTTACCATTTTCGTCGCTTCTTTTCACTTGTCGATGTCACGAGACGTGATTAGGTGTAGAACGACAGGGGTTTGATCATGCAAGGGCACATATGCGGGGTGAATTCTGAAATGAAGTTTACAATCGCGTTTCGGGAACGTCGGATTTCTATACAAATCTAAATTTCGCCCCTAGACCAAGGGAAGAGTTAACTGTGCACACGTTGATTAAGAAAGCAGCGATATAATTCCTGCGAATTGAATAGTTTCGCGACATAATCGTATCGCGTTCAATAATTCAGAGCTTAAAGTGTCCTCTCTTCTTTTTTTTTGTTTTTTTTTTTTTTGTTAGGAAAAA